AACTTAGATGCCAACTTGTAAGAGATTAGGGTTGGTTACTTTTGAGAGTGATTGATAAATTCTGAATAATAACTATTGTGAACTTAGTGATAAGCATGAGAGGAAGGTTTAGTGAAGTCAAACCCCAACAATTTATTAATATTGCATTAGAATCAAGTTTTGCACTCTAAGTGTTTACCAAAATACCAAAAAGAATTGTTATTGCTTGTTTACATTATTTACTGCAGCAAATCAAACTCTTATTGCTTTTCGGTAGCTTAGTTAGTATAACAAGTGAAATTGCAAAGTGTTGCGCAAGTCCCTTGGAAGACGATACTCATACTTTCATTGAACTACTTATACGATTTGGTACACTTGCCAAACGAGATAACAATGAGAAATTTTATAATTATTTCTATTTGGAGAATTATTGGTCTTATTTGATTCTGTATGAATTTAGGATTATAAATATATGATTTATTTGTAAAAATGATGCTTTGGGAGAGAGAACGAAATTATAGAAAAGTTCCTGTAGGCTAGGTTTTGGAAAAATTGGAATATTTCTGTCTGAGAAATTGATGATCCCATTAGATTTTGTATGTGTTGAGGATTGGAATTACATATTTAATTTGTAAGAATGATGATCTCAGAGGGAGAACGAACGAAACTGTAGAAAAGTGTCTGTGAGTTAGGTTTTGGATTAATTGGGAGTTTTACTGTTTATGTTAAAATTATATTAAATTGATAATTCTATTGATTATTATATTAATTTATGAATGTTATTGCTATATTACTTGATAAAATTGATGATCTAGATGTGAATTGCTTGAGGGATGTGTAAACCTTTATTTTGTTAGACTTATCTGTTGAGTATGTGATATGGAATTGTGTATGTGATATGAAATCGTGATATGAGATGAGATGTTGTATGGACATGATTAAGAATGTGATTGCGATGTGTTTCCTCACACTAATGACTATGGATGTGGAAATGATATTGTTAATCATAAAATTGTGTGGATTGTGATGGATTGATAAATTATGATACATGCTTGTATATATATGAATTATGATGAGATTTCATTATGATGTGGTTATATGTACTTTGCATATAGATATTTTCTTTTCTCACCGTACGATTTGTGAATGTTTTAGGTGAGGAAGATCCGGCTTTGAGTGGCATCTAGGATGCCAACAGTTGAATTGTGGGTGTGCTATGATATTGTGACATCGGGGCAGAGAATTCTAGGATATAGATTTTTATATGTATTTGGAGTTATACATTGTCTTTTGAAAACATTTTGTAACCTTTTATGTTTTATTTTCCAAGTTCCATTTTCAGACTATTTTGGATATTGAAGAATGTTTCTAAAGGTTTTTATGTGAACCCTTTTACCTATGTTGAAAAGTTTATTTTCCTTAGTTTATTGATATTATTACAATATATGTGTTGGGGTAGTAAGGGTGTCACAAAAAGTGAAGTGTCATGAAATAATATCCTTGAGAGGTCAAATATGAGATTTGTTACATTAATAAATTTATTAAAATTAAAAAAAATTGAAAGTTATCTAAGGATAAAATCCGTACATAACAACTTTCATGGGT